TCATAAAAAAACTAAATTATATACCATTTGTGATGAAATAAATAACTTACCACAATTAAAACAAAATCTAAGGCCAAATCAGTTACGAAATCTACCTAATTCTCCCAAATATAAATTACCCACTTATAATAATGTCTATGGTATGCGAACTTGGCAGTATCTCCTGCCGCAGCTGCTCAACGATCTGGAAAGCGCCGTGCATGACCAAATCGTTAAGAAACCAGAAAAATGTAAAAGAATTTTGAAATCGGCACTTCTAAATAAATAGCTTATATTTATTGCAACTTAACAATCAATTGTTTTATATATCTACTTTTCTTTTGTTTCGCTTTTTTGTCTTTCTACTATAGTCTGAAAAAAACCGTTTAATCTCTGTTCTTTTTGTTTATATATTATATAATTGTGAAATGGTTAATAACGTCTGTATTTGTTAAATTTGCTGATCTTATAAATTAATAAGCGACCAGTAAGTACACCTAAACCCTGTGGGTTTTTAGTACTACTGTCTAACCGATGTTTAATTTGTTTATGTGAAGTTTTTGTATAATAAATAAAAAAAAAAAAAAAAAAATGTAGTTATTAATATAGTGAGCCGATATCAAGTAGCCTTCTATGAAATACCTCTATTAAAATGATCCTATTATTATTGGGGAAATAAAAACAAAATATTTTTATATTTTTGTACATTATTTATTATATTTCTACATAACTTAATTTTAAATCTATGCAAGTACATATACATCAATGACTTTCAAGATATCAGCTCAATATTTTAATTTTTAATATATATATATTTGAAAATTACATTTACGGTAATAAATAGTATAGCGCAGCGCGGTCACAAAAGAATACATACCCTGTAATTAAAACCAAACCCCAAAATATTTTCAGTCACATGCAAGCTGGCAACTGGCAATTTGTAGTTATTTGCGAGTTTAAACACTCTGAACATATTCTCTTACAACATAGGCAAGCAAATTTTTCTTTACAATAAAAAATTACAAATAAAAAAATATATTTTTTACATATACACACATGGACCCACCTACTAATTTCGGACACATCAGTTTATGGCTCTATAATTCCAGTGATTGGCACACATTTTCTGAACATCACTGACCGTCTCTCAGGAAGGGGGAAACTGTGTATATGTGCACCTACAACAAACAAACAGAATGTGATTTCCTATCAAGTATAGGAACTGATATGTAAAATGTATTAGAAGTAGGGCACAATTCAATATGATAACCGGAAAGGATAAATCACTGTGGTGCTAAAAACTACACCAAAATACGAAAATATTTAAATGTTTAAATGAGTCTGACGTATGGGAATAACATGAAAATTTTTATTGAATTGTAACTTACCATAATCAGTCCATCTAAAACACAGTTGCGTACAGCGTCATTTTTCACGAAAACAGAATGAACAACATTTAACTAAGAATACAAGAACAGAAATAGAAATACGAAAAAACGTAGAGGTTTGAAGACACATGAATGTCTCGATGACAGAAATGATGCTTCTTCTCAGCCATGAGATGAAATGATGTTTACCATTACATAAAAGGTGGCGCCACTTTCCATACAAATCGTCCTTCTTCTAAGTTTCCACCCCCTGGTCCAGCTGTTTGACAGATTACTCGGAACAATCGAGGTTCGCAGTTTGACAGACAGACAATTTTAAAATTGGTTTTCTTTATAAACATTGCAAATACATCATGTTTTTTTGACATACAATTTTTATTTGTCATACAAACACTTTCCTTTTATTAATGCTATAAATTTTCTTATAGTGTATATTCTAAGCTAAGCAATTTATCTCCGTAACAGCACATATAAGTTAAATTAACGGTGCACTTCTGCAAAATGTAGTGGGCCGTTAAAGTTGATGCGCTGGATTCAGGACTTGGAATGCAGCCAAATGCATACGGGCAAGAGAATTCTATTATTTTATTAAGCTTTTATTGACTCGAGGCACGCGTATGTATATTTATAACACGAAATTTTATATATTTTAACATATTTAAAGTCTTTCTTAAATAATTGACTCGATACGGACTAAACTGAAATACATTTTCTAAGTTATTAGCCAACTTTCAGAATTTTAAAGACGATAGAGGAAGAAAGGCTTATTCTCATAATAATCATAGTAAATATAACGAAAATTGAAATTAAATTAAAATAAAATAAACGATAACAAAAAAATACTAATAAACTCGAGTTTCCCCTATACGTGTATTTCCCCATTTAAAAAATTTACTCCAAATTTATGTGTATAAATGTAGCTTATATTCGTAAATGTACGTTGTACAATTTACGCAAGATGTACAAAAATGTATGGAATATAAAACAATGCAGGTAGAGTATTCAATCTCAAACAAAGTATCTCATTAGGTGTTATAAAATATTAAACTTAGCTGGCAGAGGCAGAGGCCGTGTATTCAATTCAGCGTTACACCTACGAGGCATTTTCATCACAATTTATGTTCATTATGAAACGCTCGTGCGAGAGAGGTCGCTTTTGTACAACATAAAATATGTTTACTTTAAATCTACTTTAATTAAATATAAACGTTAAATTTCAATTAAAGTATGCGTAACTTAGTTGTTTTCCTATTTGCGTACTATGGATATTTTTGTTACGGTGTTAAATAAAGTTTGTACGAAAAAAAAAATATGTATAATATAATACAATTTTTGTACACAGAGTGCTTGCTAATTCTTGTGACAACACGTATCGCCTATCGTATTAGCTTCTTTCGCCATTTTTATTTTAAATGATAATTTAAAACGTTGTATTTATAGATTTACGAATATGTTCTGTTATGTGCTGAATGCATTTTGAAAAGATTTTCTCTCTGAATGTGTATTACGAAAAGTTTAAACATAAAAGCTGTAGTGAAAACTTGACCTTAGACTTTAAAAGGTGTACGCTGAAAAGAAATGTTTTCATATCTTAATTGCATGCGAGCAGCATTACTGGAAACATTATTTATAAGGGTCAGTTTAAAATAGCGGCTCATTTTTGCTAAGATTGCATGACCTTAGAACCAATATATTCATATTACCAACACAAAAGAATTAATTTACATACATTTTTTGTTTCTTCGTGCAATAGTTAAAAGCACCTTCGTAATGTGCGATATTAACTAAATTACATATTACCTTAGCTGACGTTAAAGTTACATATAAATAAACGACTATGCTGGAGCAACGATTTAAATCCAAACGGTCGCCGCGCAGCGGACGCACACGCGAACGGGGTCATGTGCAAATTGTATCGTTTGCGCGCCAATTAAAATGCGATATAAACCGACATGGTTGTAATTCTACGTTTATTTTCTACTTTTATGTTTTTCAAACAAACAAAAAAAATGTTTAAAATAGTTTCTATTTCAAAATACCTTTTGTCATTTACTTAATACCTTAGATTTATTACATTCTCAGATTTCGCAAACTATTGATTGACTTAGCACAATTGTCGGCAGCTTTTATCCCGACTCAAGTTCTTAAAACCCTAACAAAATGGAGGATAAACTTTAGAAGCTTTTAGTCCGTGTCATACTTTACTATTAAGGTTTTCCGGAACTTTAGACCAATATGACCAACCTATATAAATGGATAGGTCATTGTATGGAAATGACAGCTTTTGCATCGAAGTTCCTGACAATTAGTTCTATAACAATCATTAGTTCGAATCAACCTTCAAAACCAAGTGCACAAAATACCACGGTTTATAGCCTGTCCATGTATAGATGTCAGTGAATATCAAACAGATTCAACAGGATAGAATTAAAATTTTAAATGAAAAACGTCTTTATCAATACGACTGTTTGCTCATATCATAATTGCTAGAAGAAATATAGGTAAAGTAATCATGTTATCTCATTTCGTAAGTGCTGTTTGCGGTACTCTCGACTGACGCATGTCGGCTTGGGACACGGAATACTTAATTAATATTGGAAATAAAACTGGGAATATTATATGTAAAAAAACAAATGAACAACATCTACGTGTACTATATCTAGACTGTGATAGAATATTGTGCGGCTTATTTTATTTTCCTTTTGGATTTTCCATAAAAGAACCAGTAGTCGTAGCTTAAAACTTAATAATCTAATATTTATAAAATAATCTCATCGAATTTTTCGTTTCTCGTCTACAAAAACATGTAACAAAAATTTTGAACAAATGACAAACATTAAAAGTAAACTGGAACGTAAATAAGTTGTCATAACATTTTTCTACACGTTATATCGTAATTCTTTTGTTTCCTTCCTGCAATATACAAATACCTTATGTCGGACTTTATTCAAATGTTTGTTGGATTTTTGTTATTATATTTTCATACATAAAATAACTAGTTAAATTTAATCTAATTACTTAAAAGTGCAAGACGCTCTAATTGGTTCTCCCATAGTAAAACATTTAAAAAGACTTGACTTGATGAAATATGTTCGTTTATTTATGATGCTGACGAAGAAAATTCTTTGCCAATAACATGTAATTCTCTAAATAATGTTACTTTAAATCGCTAACTACATTCTATGACTATAATTTATTAATACATGCCACAGTGTGTTGTTAAATCGTTAACTTTTTTAAATCGTTTTCCCCACATTATAAATTAAAGAGCGTTTAACATTCCCGCAACTTTGAAATCTAGCTCCTTCTTTTCATACAAAAGTTTCCCACCATAAAAATTTAATGAAAAGGTCTCTATGCGCTTTAAACGCTTTTAATACCATAACCTCATTACGAAGAAAAAGTCAAGTATGAAAGAAATAAAAGCGATTCAGAATCATACTCATAATAAAGAATATTTAGGCTTTAAACTAAAATGTTTATAATTTTAACTATAGTAATCTTCCAAGTCATAAGTGGGTCATTCAATGTAATTTGAATTATTATTTTTTAGTTTCGTCCCCTGATATTGTAGATGTTTAAAACTGTGGTCATTTCTAATCAAATCAACCCTTTATTGTGTCACAATTTTAGGTGCTGCGAACGAAACCCGTGAGCATGGTTGTGCAGTGGAGCGAGGTGCGGACCGCGTGGCAGGACAGCGACTTCATCACAGAATGCCTGTGCTGGCACAATGTATACAGGCAGAGGCACGGCGCCCCACAGCTCTACATGGCGCCGGAGGTAAATAATACAGATACGGGACACCTGTGTAACTCTGTGTAGTGTAGGGTAATCTCAACTAGAATGGACCACAATACAGAATTTATAGTATTATAACATATTTGTATTTTTTTTTGGAACTTTACTTTTGCTTTGGAAAAACATCGATATCCACAGCCATAAAATCTCGTTCGTCTCATCGTCCCAATGTTATAAACCTACAAAATGATCATTACAAAAGCCTTCGTCGCCGTATCCACTTAGCCAAAGCATAAAACACCAAAGTTTAAGTACCTACACTTGAGCTCGAATGACAATAAAAACGTATGAGATCAATGTTCTTGAAAATACCAGCAAAACCATAAACCCAAAACAATTTTGACATGCTATAAAACTTTGTGAGAATAAGTGCAGAAAGCTTTTTTTTTCTTATTTCTCACTAACTCACTTAAAATTTCTATTTTATTCCTTAGTCTTTTCATAGTTTTTTTAATTGAAATGTAAGCTTTATTTCAGCTGTGCGACTACGCCCAAGCGTGGGCCAATCATCTCGCCCATACTAACAAGTTCCACTATCGCAACGATCGTGACGTCGGTCAAAACCTATACCAACGACCCGTCAGCGCACTGCAGCCAGATGTTACTGGTAACTCATAAAAAAATAAAAAACTTGAATAAAGAACAATCCTGGTCAATACAATTCTTTTTGAAATCGTAACTTTTTTTGTTAATTTCCTTGTTTGATCACGTTTGGTTTTATTACTTTTTTGAAAAGCAATTTTATTTTATAAGTATACAACGTTTCATATTTGGGACTTTATGAAATAATGAGTTGTAAACAAAATGATATGATAAAACTTTTAGGTCAAGAGGTGTCATCGTACTGGTATGCGGCAGTTCGACAATACAACTTCTTCAAGGAACCAGATGTGCTTCACGCCAATGTTAATGCAGGTACAGAATATTAATAGTAACATTTTATAATCAAATTAATTCCTTATACCAATAGAATTAATCATTTACAGGTCATTTCACGCAAATGGTGTGGGTTGCAACACGTTTCTTTGGCGTGGGCAAGGCGAGGTCCCGCGCTGGTAAGGTCATAGTCGTCGCAAACTATTCGCCACCGGGCAACATGTCTGGGCAATTCGAGACAAACGTTTTGCCACCACTGCCCGACAACCTACCCGAGTTAGCTCCGCCCCCGGTTCACTGACGACAGTTTTCAATACGTGGCAGACGACTCAGAATCGATGCTACGTATAATAAATAAAAAAAAACAACGGCCTAATCATGAAATTTTGAAATTAGAACATTAGAATACAAAGGCTATTTTAGAATAATGCCAACGGCTTATGAAAAAGAGAGAGTTCATAATTTAAGAATGAAACTTGTGTATCAATTTTTCTATTGCGCAATTTGGTTTAATTGTAAAATTGGCAAAATAAATAGTGAAAAAACTGGTCATAACGTTACCTTTTAGATTAATTAAAAAAAAGAACAAATGTTACCAGATTCACAAGTTTCATTACAATAAATTGTTTATTAGTAGAATATAAAATTGTTACTAAATTACGTTTAAGGCCTATAATTACAAAGTTAGCGGGCTAGGGTATATAAATTTTAGTACTAGTTTAATATTTAAAAAAGAACCTCCACTAGCTTCGTGCATAGTAATACTTAGTAATGTCGGTTGTTTTGCCTGAGCTTAAATTTTACAAATTATTCATAATTTTTAAAAGCAATATTGTTACGCACATTAAATGTAATACACTTTTATAATGTTAGGGATTCACTTGCTATTTCGATATATATTTATTCGTCCATCAATAATAACAAAAAATAGTTGATAATGAATTTACGAAACGTATTTTTAATTCATTCAAAACGCCTTTACGAAAAACGAAAAAAAAATGTTTAAAAACACATATTTACATTTAATGAATAACAAAATAGAATTTAGATATACACAAGAAATATAAATACAGTAATTTAAACCGATAGATGATAAAATAATGAGAAATGCCACAATAATAATAGGCCTAAATATTAAATTTTCGCTCTTCCTTTACCATCAAAACTTGTCTTCCCTAATGGTTGATTATAAAAGTTGTTAAATAATTTTATCCAACGCTTTAGTATTTTAGTAATATAGTTGTTATACATTTTTAAATATATTTATTTTATACAACGTTGATTGTAATTCATACATAATGTTAAACCATTTTGTTATATTGTGTGAAGTTGATGAAACTAGAATAAATAAAGCAGAAAATAAAAAAAAAACAAAAATAGATGAAAGCTTGGAGTGGAACCCTGTTCGGGTTATTCGAGAACAGGTTTGTTTTTTAATAAAAGTTACAAAAAAATAAACGGTTTAGAGGCAACTAGCCGCAACACTCACAGTAGTTCAATGGCTTTAGTAGTCCCTTAGTGCAGATTGCTTAAACTAAATATACACTGAGTTCCATGACTCTTCACTCTCTATGCTACTGACCACTTAAGACTCTGGGTGCGGCAGTAAAAGATTTTTCCCACAAGACGATTCACTGCTCGCTTGATGCTGGTGGAAAATAGGTTTAAAACCAATTTGTGTATGTGGTATGATATGAGTAAAAAGTAGTGAAGGGTAATGAATTAAAATTGATGACCAGCACTGAATCAGTGAACCGGCTCACAGCTCAGTTTAATTTGTTAAGTTATGATTTGCGTTTCTAGCTGCGAACTGTGAATCACAAGTCAGCTCGCGGCTTGACGGCTCACATAGTTGCAGTACATTGCGATGAACCGTAAGCTGCTAATTTAGTTGTAGAGCCGCAGCTCAACATTTCAAGTCTACGTGTCTCGAACTTTTGAATCGGTTCAGAGCCGCCTTACACATATCTCATAAACAGTGTTTGTTTTTCAACTTGAGGGTAGTAAAAGTAACGTAATAACCTACTATACGTATCAAAAATTTAAAAAAAAAATTGCCACCATGGTTGTAGATATTTTTCATGACAGTAGTAATTTCCAATTTTTTATTAATTAGGTACCTATTTAGTCATGACATTAATAAAATCAGAGCATATACAAAATTACCTAGGTAAAATATACAATATATCTTTTTGATCCATATCTGAAATCATATAAACATGCAAAATTTCATAGTGTCCGAGAGAACTTTGGCAGCATTTATTTAGTACGTATACCTTTAACTTGAAAATACCCACATAATATAATGAACATCTTTTAAAGTTTCAATACTTTTTAAATTGTTATCTAGATTCATAGAACTTACATTTGAACTTTACGGCAGCTGCATATGCATGTCTGCGGGTGCCAGATCAACCTACAGTATTTAAATGAATCGCACAGCACAGTTTTTCTACTTATTAATTTTGAATAATATTAGTAGGCAAGTAAATGTTTACAAATTTAAATATTACGTATGAGCCTGAAAAATTATGAGAGAAAATTATATTTAGGAGCATAGTATAAGATGTTTACTGCGGGTCGCTGAAATCAAAATCTCCGTTTAAAATATATTGCTAACTCTGTTTTGTCAAGGATGACAATATGTATTATATAGAGATTTTAGTGTCAGAAACCCAAGATAAGTGTTACATAAATAATAATGAACGTAAAATAGCTGCTTCATAATTATTTACATTAGTAAATATTGGAATAATAGTAATACAATGAACTTAACTCCGAGTTACTAATACTGATTTGACCATATATGTTATTTATTCTTTCAATTCGTTTATATTTCATAACATTTTTAGTAAAATATTATTGTTATACATCAATCTTGATAAATGTTATATTTTAGAAATTCCTTATTAATGATTTCGTAAATTGTAATGTATTACTATAAATATATATTCTATTATTTTGTAAAATAATGAATCCGTATTTCATTATATTGAAAACATTTCACATCATTAAGCAGAATATTCAATAGTTGTAAATAATTTATTTACAAATATTGATGTTTATTTTGTTTTGTTAAAACTTTACTTTAGGTTAATGTTGCATTGTAAGTTAACGGCAAGATATACAGTGTAATGTGCAGTTAGAGATAACTTTGTGCTTTATTAATTGATTAATCAATGGCTGTGAATTGTTAACTGTTATATTAGAACAGATGTGGCTTGCTAATATTTTAGTTAAATAAATAATTACAACAAAATTTATTTCATTATTTTACAACTAATCTTATCTTTGGTGCTCTATATCTTAACAAATCAATAGATCAGCATTGAACAACGATCTGCCTTTTTAAGAATAAAACAAGATGTTTGGTTCGTGATATACATTTATTCCTATATTAACACAAATTTACTCAGTCCATCTATGTTTGCAACTTGTACATACGTAATACAATCTCATTTCCTCTTCAGCACGTCTCGTTTGACCCTGGAAGAATACAGCTTCTCTGTGATTGCATTTTGGACACATGTGATCTTTTGTACGAGGTAGAGTGGGATCACTAACAACGTCTGGGTTAATATGGGTTAATTCATCTACTTCGTGCATAATTTTGTTAACGTACACACAGTTTGAATCTGCCAGTTGCTTATAGTCACAATTTCTGCAGGCATATAGTAAAACTTTATTGTTTTTGTCTTCGCGCGGGTAAAGCATGTTATTGCATTCTTGACAAAACTGGATGCCCACGTAACCTGGCCCGCCGTCTTTCCTTCCTAAGTTTAAAGTCATTATGTCTATCTGATTTATATCTTAAATAAAAGATTATTAATTTATTTTACAACTTCTGAATTCGCAATAAATAAATAAACCCATAAAAACTTTAAGATTTGACAGAAAACAAACAAATGACACTGACAAATCTAGCTGTCTTCTCGAACAATCTGCACAGATCTTATATGAATTTTAAAAATAGTTTGAAGCAGTAACCGCATTTGGATGAATATGTTTACACAGGAAGGCATAAAATAGAAATGAAAAATTACTTCTGTAATTTACCGATCAAAAAATGAAGCGTTTTCTTTTTTGAAAATCACCAAAATGGAAATTCAATATAAAATGAGAATATTTCACACGACAAGGCGACAAGGCAGTAAAAAAGTTTTAAAAAAAGTTTTTAAGTAAATTCGATAGGCTAAGAGTAGCACCGACATAGGTATTGATTAATTATCACAATATATCGAATATATCTTACGAGACACTAAGATAATAAATCCCGTTTTTAAAAAATTCCTTAACGAGGTCCAAACATTTGAATTATTTTTAGTCTACACTCTTTTTTAACAAAAGTTTTTTATATGTTGGCAGCATTGTGGAAATGAAAGCAGTGGTTGGTTAACGTGCTGATTATTTCTTTTCCCATCCGTAGCCGATTGCTGTCGTGCTATCCAAATGGGTAAGGAGTAGTTTTGTGTTGTTTAAATTTCAGTTTATTTATAATTTTTGTTTTATGTTGTGTTTATAAGTGCTTTATTATTCCCCATATGTGGAAGTGTACATAACTCTAAATAATTGATAACTCCAAGCAAAATGTCTACCGAAAAATATTTTGTATGCCTAGGTGTCGGCCATGGCGCAGACATGTTTTTCTCGTGGTGTTTATTTAAATCTATTTCCATCTCATAAACGTTGTACTAATTTTGAGGTACTGATCTAGATTCCCCGTTTTGAAAACTCCTCGTAAATTATATTGCAAAGATTTCAGTTTCTACTTCAAATGTAAGTGATAACCGGCGACTTGAATTTCAGGTAAACCCCGTGGTATTCGTACCGCGCGGAAGCACGTGAACCATCGTCGCGAGCAACGATGGGCGGACAAAGACTACAAAAAGGCTCACATGGGCACCAGATGGAAGGCTAATCCCTTCGGTGGTGCATCTCACGCTAAAGGCATCGTCTTGGAAAAAGTGTGAGTACATTTCTTGTTGAACGGCATAAATAATGCAGTGTTAATCAGTGTTGTATTAATGTAAAGAATGTTAATGAGAAGCGTGGGGGATGTGTAGACATGCGTATTGAAGTGCAAGAAAGTGTGTCGAGAGTTTGGCGACCGGCGTCGGTGGTATGAAGCGGGAGCGTCCATTCGCGGTATTATTCCTGTGAATGTTTTCCATTTACAATCACAGGATAATACTGCGAGTGGCTGCGTCGCATTACTCCGAGGAAGATAAAATATTCAGGGACAGCGCACGCCCGGGTCGACGAACTCGCATGCGGAGGTTCATTAAACATATTTACATTTGAAACCGTTATTTTACGCTACTTGTGTTTACAAAAGAGTCTTGCAGTACTCTTCTCACTTCACTGCAATTAAAGTTGTTGACGACATTAAATGTGAATACTTTTGATTTACAACGTAATTATATTTTATAAATAAGTTATTTGATAAACATTGTTTTCAATAATGAATGTCTGATGTCTTAAGATTATAATTTTTAATTATTTGTGTTCTAAATAGATGTTTGTCTGTTTACTGTTATTCATAGTAGCTTCTAAACAAGTATAAAGTATGTTTTCACTACCTTTAACTTAGTTAAAATTCAAATTTTCATCCATAGTTTCAGAAATATTGAGAAAGAGTCACATGCCTTTAAAAATAGGCACTTTACATACCTTTAGATTGGACAAGAGGATATGGAACATGTGGCATTTATTTTGTATTGTCCGAGAAAATGTGTATAGTGGATGTAACTCAATAATGTTTGATTTAGAAGTAGTTTAAAACCATACTTGTTGAAAAATGTTTCATATATCATGAACAATGGCTGTAGTTTGTCATATACTTAATCACATATTGATAATGACCAAAAATAGTCCACATGGCTAAAATGATGCTAAGAATTTACAGATGTCGTCTGAATGCAAAATTTCTAATTTTTCAAATTTCATGTACGTAATAGTAAACAGATTTGATGTGGTAAATTTAAAACCAATATTTGAAATCAATCAGGTGTTGTATATTTATATTGTTTATAAACAGATAATAATTCTTTGTTTCCCTTCCACAGTGGAGTAGAAGCCAAACAGCCCAACTCTGCCATCCGCAAGTGTGTCAGGGTACAGCTGATCAAGAACGGCAAGAAGGTGACCGCATTCGTACCGCGGGACGGTTGCCTCAACCACATTGAGGAGAACGACGAAGTGTTGGTTGCAGGTTTCGGTCGTAAGGGTCACGCCGTCGGTGACATTCCCGGAGTCAGGTTTAAGGTAAATATTACAGATTATGATCCATTTACAAAAGCTTTTTTAACATTTTCCATCATTAAACATAAGAATCTGGATTTGGAATTTGTTTTTCGAGTTTGCAATATAATTTGAACAAGTAAGAGGAAAAAATCTATTGTTTTAAGTAACTTTCCTGACAAAATTATTCTAAGTTGGTAAGCTAATGATGATCAGCTTAAAAATCCGGAGTATTTGCTACTCTGAGTGCAATGATGCAGTCAGCCATACTGACTTAGAATATGAATACAGTGCAAAATGTCTTGCTTTGTAATCTCAAAAAACTAAACATGTGTCATGACTTGTTTCAGGTGGTGAAGGTCGCCAACGTCTCCCTTCTCGCCCTGTACAAAGAGAAAAAGGAGAGGCCCAGATCATAGGCTTTACTCCATTGTGATAAGGTATATATACTTTATATGTAACCCAATTAATTTGTAATACCCTAAGTTTCATACAATTTCATAATTTATTCAAGGCTACTTTTTAATTTTTACCTTTAAATGTAGTACTGTAATATTGAATGAATTTATATTTGTTAGAAAAAATATCTACCAGTCTTTAGATATCTTTCAAAGTACATAGTTAATGTAAAGATTGTAAATGATGCTAAAAACAATTATTTGCTACTGCTGAATGCCATGACGTTAAATGTTGACTGATTGTTTATATAATTATTTTAATTTTGTTTGAATTTATCATTTTACTCAGTTGTCTAATGAAGATGTTTTGTTTCAGTGCTGCTGCGAAGTGGTGTTGTTCATAAGAGTCATTAAAAAAATGTAAAATCAAGTACATAATAAACTGTGTACGTCAAAACTATGTTTTATTTTTGCTTTACCACAACAATACAAAGATTTGATAACCTCAGTTTGTTTACAGCACAAGATAAGAATTTGATAAGTCACATAAATGAAAGAATGCTCAATGAATGGACACAGGTCAGATATTATGTATACATAAACAAAGAAATGAATCTAAAAATTTTACATTGATTGTTTTCTAGAATGTCAAAAATATAACAAGACTTGGTGGAATTATTTCTTGGGTTATTATGGAGTTTTAACTTTAAAATTGAGAAAAATAGGTAAATAAAGCTCAAACTTGATCACGATTACACTTTATTGGTATACATTTAATATCGATTACATAGAATTACTACTTGCTGATTAATATACATTGAGATAGGCGTAGAGCGAAACTGCTTAATACAATTACTACAGATAATTCAAACACGTAAATTGTCTACGTTACATACTCATGCTCATCACAATCAAAACATGTTTCGTAACATCAAAATTGAAAATTTTGGTATATATAAGATAATACGCCTTTCATATTTGTTTTTCGCATGATACTTACAAAAGAAACCTTGTAACTTAAAAATAACAGCCTATAATGAAAACATAAGATACATTTGCAATGTATTCCATAATAAAATATCAATCCTTAAGTGCGTAGTCTATTCAATTTGAAAAGGCTGAACCACGACAAATCTCGATCATTTAAAAGAATAAAATAACATTGGTCCACATTGTAAACTTAATATTAATATTTTTTATAGAAAATCAAAATTACTAACGATTAATTAATTTTGTTTTGCAACCTGCACGTAAGTCAAAGATATATGGTCAAAAAACGCACATTGGGATAGCATGGTTGACTATGGCCTAGTGCCCTAATTTGGGTGTATTCCAAGCCTTTCGGGGATAACTGACGACAACATTAATTTCTGAATAAATGTAAGCAAACAGATATCCATAATTGTGTCATTTACCAAAAATAATTCACTGGTATCTTTACCACTTATGTATATAAATTTCATAAGGTAAAATAAAACTTTGGCTTATTGACGTGACTCAACCTTGACGCACTACGTAATCATCAAATAAAAAATTCGAGACAAACCCAAGTGAATACATTTTCATACCTCCCCATATTTCACATTAAATCTTCACATACAATCAAAATGGCACGCCCTGTTTTGATTTGCGTTTTACAAAGAAATTCGTATTCTACAATAAGATTAAAACTAGGCCAACATTTGTTATTAGAATAAAATATTGTAAACAAAACGAAGCTGATTTTAAACATTTATTTTTACAATGGAATAAATTATTTAAGCAATTAATCCTAAGCGTCTCCACTTACATTTTGTGCTGTGTTTAGAAAGAAAATACTGTTAGATAGAGACACAAAAATAAGCCGATATATCATAAATTGTACATATTCTGTACAGTAAAAAGATGATTCCATATTTACAAAGTAAAGCTTAATAGTAAGGAAAGATAAAAATTACAATATACTTAAAACAAAGTAAAAATCTTCACAATACAGATAATTAACTTATAATTGAATTTCTAAAGTCTACGCAAGTGATTAAAAACAAAATTGTGGTAATTATTTTCAAGATTCTATAAACTATAGTTAAATTTCTCTGATTAATTCGAATTTAATAAAAAAATTAATGCGAAATGACCAATGCCATAAGTTTTGTATACATACACAAAATTTTACCCATTTAACGAACTACGAAAATCACATAGGCAAGATCCAAAGATAATAAATCTATGTTCTTTTCTAGACTAAAGCCTCTTCAAGTTCCGCGCATGGGATTTTTTAATTTCGTTACTTTCCTGTAGTAATAAATTACAATTAATAGTTTTAATTCAATTACAATTGACAATTTTCCATGAAATTGTGTTTCAGTTTCAAATATCTGAGAGTTTCCATTAACATCCATCCAGTGGAAACTGAATTAATTGAACACATGCATATTTAGACTAAATAAAATTCGAGACTCATTTTTAAAATCAAATTTGCAGATATCAAATATCAAAAATATATACTCTGTCGTAAACAAGACAGGGTTATTGTAGCTTAAAATAATATCGCAACTATTCCATAGAAAAGTAAACAGATACTGCATACAGTGTTTAAATGTTACATATTGTCTAGAGCCAAAATATTAATAATACAAAACTCGAAGAACCTTACCTTTTCCATTCTCAACTACCTCACTCACATCCGTTTATATTTACTTTCCCTACGATTCTATTTCTTAGTATCACACATTCCGTTTCATCCAAAAATACAATTCCATGCTATCGAGCATTACAAAACCTTTTTCTAAAATCACAGTTATCAAATGACGAAGGAATATTATTTTAAATTTCACAAATCACATAGAAGAGTATACATTTTATGTTTATAAATAGAGATGGTATACATTTTACTTATTATTATGAAATGTTAGTTTACTTTGTAATAGTAATTCAAAATAATTTTAGATTAGCAAAAAAATTTTTTTTTGTTCCTTATTTTTTTTAAAACGATCTACATTACGAGATATACAGTTGGAATAATTAGTCTTAATTCTACGATACAAGAATAGATTATGAATAACATCTAAAATATATTTAGTTGTAAGCCGCTACATTGACATCGAATGCTATAAACGCTAAATGCTATAAAATGTTACGAATAATAACAGTTGCGGTCGTTTTTTTTAAACATTTGGCACAATAAGCAATTTATCTTTTGCCGTTTGTTTTTTTAAATTACTTTGGCATTATGAACAAATCCTAAATTCATATCTTTTTTTTTATATATACAGACGGGGGCAAACGAGCAGTGGGAACACCGAGATGTTCAATGACGCCCATGGACATCATCTAAATAATTTTTGGAAAATACACAAAAGCAAGCAAATTAAAATCAAGCATATAATTCACGAGTTATAAACGTTTTTTATATAATATTTTTGCTTATTAATTATTCTGGCTGTATGAACTTAGACCTTTGCCTATTTCATATAAACAGTTTTAAAAATATAAAAGTCAATTTGACATTGTCATTAAATAAAATTTTAAACACGACAGCAACCGTTATTCGAATGATAGATTAAATGTATGTATGAAGTTTGATTAATTTGAATGAGATATAATATAATGAGATACGAGTTATATAAAAAATGTTTCAAATCGTGAGCCGACGTTCACGGCGCGCGGAGCTGCGCAGGTACATTTCCAATTTTGCCCGGAGGAGCGCTGCATTCTGTTATATCATCAAAAAAATACTTCAATAAATAGTTTTTAGTACTTTTATATTTATGAAAATGAAGTAGACAAAAGAAATAAGGAATGAAGCAACGAAACACATGAAGCTGTATAGTGTTATTTTACCGCAATATGTATGGTTGACTGTATGTTTTATGTGTTAGGAAGAAAATCCGACACTGTGCCGGTGGAATGGGACAACATTAGCCTTACTAAAATGTCGACGTTTATGTTCTCTCAGTAATCATTCTGACACTTGACTTGGTAACAAAAGCCATTGGAGCCAAAGAATTCTGACTAATAATGTCTAAAAGTATGTATGTGTGTATATATGAATGTTTAATCGTATAAAGTTGTATGTGATATATGATTGTTTGTCTGTATAGTGTTGTGGGTGTAAGTACCAAGCGCGCTTGCCGGCGCTAGGAGTCGCCCACGTAGTCCATGGTCTTAATGTAAGCGACGGCAGCACAGAACTGCGTCCACCAGTACAGGGCTTCGCCAGACAGCGCCGCGCCTCCCAGCGCGTTCACCAGCTCTATGGTAGACAGCAGCGATGGTGGGTTCACCTGCAAATACCGGAATAACAGGTGGGTAATTTGGAAAGTATTGTAAAATTTACAGTTCGTATTTAAATGGTCTTTTTTAGTGTTACCTTGAGTATGACGTAGACGAGTACTGGGGTGAGGTCGTCTGCGGAGGGCGCGCTACCGTCGGTCAGCGCCAACACCGACATAATGGAGGATACGCAACGCATTATGCACGATATCTATTGACAAACGAATATATTTAAATTGGGTTCGTTACATGAAAGAGAAGGAAGATTTTGAAGAAGTTTGTGACCTTGTCGCGCGGTGTGCGGTATACAGGTAGATGGCGCAGCTGCAGCTGTGCGTGCGGGTAGGGCGCGGCCCACAGATGTCGCGGCGCGACGCCCGCACGCAGCGCGCTCGTGCATGCCGCCAGCCGGCGCATGTGCTCGCTCAGTACTCTATGCAACACAGATGGTGTATATTATATTAATGTAAAAGTAACAGAAATAACTTTGATTATATACGTAAAATAGATTAAATGAGAGATATTAACTAAACACATAATAAGTGCGGTAGTTACAGTCCCACAAGAATCTTATGGCGGTCAAAATATATGTGAACTAATAATGTCATCTTGACAACATCATATTTTGACCAATAAGAGAGCAATGTAATGTTGCCATTTTCAAAATTCGAAATTCTTTAAAAACATTACGCATGATATTATGATATGAAGGTTGATTTGTAATTATGTTTGGATGTATCAACTTAAATTATAAAGAACTCCTTCGTCAAAAAACTTCCATAAGATCCTTGTGGGACTATATTATCTTGTATAAATCTATGTGACTGACTGGTCGCGTGCGATGTCGCCGTCTCCATTGGGGAAGAGCACGTGCAGGTAGAGGCGAGCAAACGCCGCGCGCTCCACCGTTACCTCCAGCGCCTCCACCAGCGCGCTCGTCGCTCCTGCACAAAACAATATATTATTATAGTCAATATATCTAACTACAACACTCCATCTCATGTACCAAATAAAAGCTTAAACTTTGTAATTAAATAAAAAAGAACAAACCTTCCCATGAGGGGTCCGCCTTCAGCTCGGCAGTTATCAACCTGATGCTGGCAGTCAGTCTTTTCGCCTTCTCATCCATCAGCTCACCACCTGGAATTATGACAAATCACAATTATTACAGTAAAAAAAATAACTGAAATTAGCGTTAGATCCGAACGAGCCATACATTAGTGACCAGTGTATGTTGAACTGTGTGTAATACGTACCATTGAGTATGGCGTGGTTGTTGTGTGCGTGGTGGTGGCGCGCGAGGCGGCGCAGTGCGTTGCCGCGCTCCAGCTGCTCCAGCACGCGCGCCGCCGCCGCTGCACGTGCGCACGCCAAGCACTCCTCGCGCACCAACTTTATCTGACTGAAAATATAACTAATGTTAGAAAATATTGTACTACTATTCAGTGTAAATTAATATGAATTAGCTAGTACTGATTCGTTTTTTGAATTTCAGATAGTTAAACTCTATTAGTAAGTCTAAGATGCACTGACGCTCGCAGGTCATGTTGCGCATGCGCAAGCGCAGCGCGGCAGGAGGCGAGGTAGGCGGCGTAGGGACGACGTGCAGCTAGATCTGCCCGCAGCGCCGCCGCGAGCCGAGCTGCGCGCGCGCCCGCACCCCCCGCACCGCCCGACAGCGCGCGCCCCACCGCCGCGCTCTCCGCGCAGCCCCCCGCACGCACAAAGTCCACCAGCGATGTTGCTGTGCAACGCTACAAAACAAACATACAAAAAGTTTCACTCACTGTGGATTTTCAATGCCAGAAATCTCATAGAAACATAGTCATCTCCTTCGTTCTCCTAGAAAGAATTGAGACAACTAGTGTTTGTTCTGGTATGTGTTAGGTTAATTGAAGTCACAATTAGATACTAAATCACTTGATGAGTACGTATATCATTTGAAATCAGAGCTGCAGTTCTGGTATAGTATGGTTTTTTATAGTCGTGTAGTATTGACTTACATTAGGTACATATTCAACGCAGTGCATGTCAGTGTTGGAGAGCACGGCGCGCAGCCGACGCTTCATGCTGTTGAAAACTTCAGGGTCGTTGAGGTCCACCACGCCTTCGCATCTAAACAATCACCAACAAAATACCCATACTGTTATTGAATGTCTAAAAATTTTAGAATTTATTCAACCACCTATACATTCAAAGAAAGTTTAGATGAATGTATGAAAATTAGTTACTAGGTGTCTCCTGAAGGGTTAAACGTATCATTGGAATCCGGCATAGCTACATACATAGTCTGGAAAAACACAAAGGCTTCTAATGATTTTTTTTTAAATCCTGCATCGATAGCTAGTTTAAATTAAGATAGAAAGTATACCTATCCAGATCTGGATCGGGCAGGTCAGACATGCGGCGCGTGGGGCGGCGCGTACGGCCGTCCGAGCCCTTGCGCCGGTACTTGGCCAGGATGTCCTCCGAGCTGTCTCCGCCTGCCTCCAGCTCCGCGCGACCATCATCACTGCGACACTCCTCTTCTGCCAGTTTTATATCTGTCAATGAATATTGATGATTTCAATTATAAAAAAAAAGATAAGTAAAATAGAATGGTGAAATTATTTTCAAACGTACCGTTGCTATGGTGATGATGGGAGCGTCCCTTGGGTCGGAAGAATTTGATCTTGTGCAGCAGATTGCCGCCGGAGCGCTTCACGTTGTTCTTCAGCTCGTCCAGATTCCCCGCCAGGCCGTCCTCGCCACTCGCACGACGCCTTAACACATATAAATGAAGCTCACGCTCAGACAAAAAAAAACAATGTGATGAAGAAAAAAGAAGACTAATATACCTCTGTGACTTTTCAGCGGTGGCATCGAAGCTGATGCTCTTGGGTATAGCGCCGGTGGAGACGTTCTTGAGTGGCGGAGGGCTGACGCGGCGTTCCGTCACGTTGTCAGAGTTGACGTCCTGGCTGGAGCTGCGGTCGGACACCGAGGTCTCCGCGCTGTTCACCGACAGCGTGCTCAGCGACATGTTGCTCGTATCGCGCTTCCTCTCGATACGAGACGAACTTATGTTCACAATACTCGTCCGTATCTCAGACTTGACGATCCTATTCGTCAAGTTGTTAACCAAGTTCGCGGAAGTCGATATAGTGGCGGAACTCATTCGAGTCATTAAATCGGTTATCGTCGATCTCGATTCCGATTCGGGACGTTCGGTATCGATACCGGAATCGAATCGGCGATCGTACTGCGATACTGAGAGTGCGTTGAAGGAACTTTCGCTCGAGTTGAGAGATCTATCCATGAGATCGTTGTCGTCGAACGGTTTGGAAGTGGAAGGGTGGTCGTAGGGCTTGGAGGTGGAGGGGAGGTCGTACTTGGCGGGGAATGGGCGGGAGGAGCTCGGCTGCGGGAAGCTATCGTCCACCCATTGGCTAGTCGCGTCCGATTGGACTGTCGCGTCGTCGAGCGTCGACTCAGTTTGTGCGTTGTTGCTGTAAAAACATCAATATGTAAATAAAAAAAATGTATTTCCTACATATGTGTTTACTAATAAGGTAATACGTACCTATTCTGAGGAAAGTCAAACACGTCGCTGGGCAGCTGTGCGGGCGCCGAGGTGCTGGGGCTCTCGGGCGCTGACGTTGCGTAACACGTCATCACCTAGTTGAAAAAAAAATCTTATAAAATCTTCTTTGATTCATGGATCCTAAAATATTACTGGAGGCCATTACTAATAATGCCATCTCGAAGTATTGTTAAAAACATACAGGATATCCGTTAACGAGTATGCTCTTCCTGTTCTCAACGAAGGCGGCGTGCGCTTGCGCATTGGCTGCGTGCGTGTTGGCGTGCGCGAGCGGCGCCAGGTCCAGCTCTCCGCCGCGAGACAGCGCTGCCGTCGCACTCAGGTACCTACAAACATAAGTAACAATCAACATTTTATATCATAATAAATACGAATATCTGGATGGATGGATGTTAGAATGTATCTCCAGAACTCCTTACCGAATCTTACTGAAATTTGGCACATATGTAGAACATAGTGCTAAAGTTTTTTTTTTTTAATTCCGGCAAACGGAGTTGCGAGCGACAGCTAGTTTTTATAATAAACTTGAGTATCACTATTGAATTCTTACCGATTATTAGGAAGATATCGTGACGTATGCCTCGGACTGCCGGTGTCTGGTCTTTTGGTCCCGTTCTGTAAAATAATAAAAGATATGAATAACAGTTAATAAGAGGAGAAAGATGACTAGTCCTAGGTAGGTGGTGGGGGCAGGAGGTAGTGTACCTGGGACAATGGTTGTCGCAGCGCCTCCTCCTGGTGCGAGGGGCGACGCGGCCACGACGTGTCGGAGCGCGCCGCGACAGATACGCAGTCGTCTGTATCCACCTACCATACATACAAAATAATCAATACATACATACGTGGACTCTGTTTACAATGACCAATGTATACTAAGCGTGTAACGTCATACAAAGAAATTTGTAGAAAGAAAAAAAAATGTTCTGATTTAGTTAGTAAAATTTATTTTATAGAGAGATACAAGACAGGGATAAACCAATATAAACATCGTACGTAATAAGTACATACGTAGTTTTTTTTAACCCACTGACAAATAAGCGAAAACATAATTAACGGTTTCTTTTGTATTAAGGTTTACAATACTTATGTACGTATTTGAAATAATGTAAATAACAAATATATAAATATACTAGCTGTCGCCCGCGACTCCTTCCGCGCGGGATTAAAAATAGATGTTGTCCGAATCTCAGAGCTATTCAATATGCTCACAAAATTTCTTAAGAATCGGTCAAGCCGTTTCGGAGGAGTATGGGAACGAAAGTGACACAAGAATGTTATATATAAGATTAGGTATATACCTCTGTGTTGCGGTCACTGTCTGAGGCGAGCACGTCCATGCTCCAGGCGGACTCGCTCGCAGTCTCTGACACGTCGGGCGCGTTCGTGCTGCTCGTGCCGCCACCTGACGGACGATTGCACAATGATATCATTTAATTGTGTTTAAACATCAAATTAAATTTATTTGTTTAAAGACATTTTACTTATAATTCGTCTAACCGTGGGTTTTTATGACCAAAACATCAGTTTAAAACATATTGTAATTTTTGTATTGCCAAAGATAATGACTGGTATAACGATATGATTTATACAGAGATTTTAGTCTCAGAAACTTACGGTAAATTAATGTGCGAGATGACTCCTCAGTTAAAAGTTTCTTATCAATGATGAATATTTCGTATTTTATCATATTAATGGTTTTTTGTTGTCTATACTTGCCTTGGTTGGCTGCAACCTGGGTGTGCTCGCAGGAATCTCCGATTGTCTCGGAGTCGGAGGCCAGCACGTCCGTACTCCAAGTGTCAGACATTATGCTGATTGTTTCATCACCTTCCAGCATTTTCTGTAAAAATCCCACTAGTTCGATCACTAATTTATCTTTTATGGTAAATTTATATACATGAATTACCGCAAACAGAGAGGTTAAGTGATCATTATGGGTATACCTTAGTGCAGAAGAAGCAATTAAGAAAATTGTAAACTCTGAAAGGTATTTTACATCGAGGAAATCCTACCTTGATCTCAAATTTGCAGAATTTATCCTCGATATCATTGCGCGTCTGCTTGAGCAGCTTGGCCTGGTTGCTGGCAGCCTGCGCGCTCACTGGAGCGTTTGCGGATATCCTGCCAACAAATTATATTGAATATACATTACATTCAAACAAGTTCTTAAACAGCTTACAGCTGACCTAACATATAAGAAAATTAAGATTCAATTTTTTCTACAGTAATTATTGGTAATATTTGATTGCTGACCGTCTAGGGGGCGCGTCTCCTGCGGCGTCTCCGTCGGTGACTTGGGAGGAGGGCGTCTCGCGACCAGAGATGTTGGGGCTGCCGCGACCGCTCACATTGGCAGACACCTGGAAACAACGAGATTGTTTTCTCTTAATTATATAAAAATATTTTTAAAACTACTTAGGTGGGTAGGCAAAGGATTGCCTTTTCTGTTGTATGACGTATGTATTTCCTCTATCCCTGTATTTTGTTCTTAGAAACCCACGGTTAGCCGCTTACGCCTATTACGTATAGATAAACAATGATGTTACCATATCAGATAGGTTGTCGTTCTGGTCCTCGGTCTCGAGTTCGAGGCTGGAGGTGACGCTGTGGTTGGAGGCAGCCTCCGACACCGCCTCCAGGTTGTCCGATGTGTTACCCAGAGACACCTCGTCGTGCGACACTGAGAACCTAACAAACAAAGTAACATTCAAATTATAAACATTACTGTTCCAAAGATTTCTATAAAGGGATAGGCTCTTGCTTGGAAATAACAATTTCTGCTTCGTTCAGATTAAAACACACCTGTTGATGTTACGTGACAGTAAACACTTTCTATATTATTAGTCAGAATCCATTCCACCTCTAAAAACCGCTATCAACGCAAAAGTGACGAAAATCAAATAGGCACAAAATACTACGTCTTATAACCGGTCCATTTATAGAGGTATCGTATATAGACTTTAAAAAAGAGGTACGCAGTCTTGTAGTCATCTAAGTTAAGTCATACGTACGTACGCGTATGTTAGTGTACGTGTACGTATACGTACCTGGTGCGCTTCTGTACGGGCGTCTGTCCGGGCGCGACGAGCGCGGAGGCTCCGTCCTCCTCGCCCGCCTCCGGCCCCACGTAGTAGCACTCCAGTACTTTCGATTCCGGCATCATACCTACAACACAAATCAAGAAATAATAACACAATATCACACTGGCTCAAAAGACTTTTAGCTCAATTATTGAACAAGAACAGGAAAAAATAGCCTTCACCTATAAAAAATACAACCAACTTGTAAATATCTTTTAAACATTTGTTAAAAAACAAAATCTATGTTTATTACATTTAATTTTTATAATATATAAATAACAAAATTTAGATGAATGGATAAAATCTGGCATACATATAGAAAATAGTCTGGAAGAACACATAGACTACTAATTGTTTCTTTTTTTAATTTCGCGGAGATGAAGTCGCGGGCAATCACTAGTGTAGTATAAGAAAATCGTAAAAAAACAATACCAAAAACCAATAAAAATCATACATACCAACATAATCACTCTCTTCGGTGTTGGCCAGCTTTATGACCAGCACTTCAGGCACCTCCATATCCTCTTTATCACCGTTGACTGCCTTGTCTTCCAGCGAGGAGCTGGAGCTGGCGCTGCGAGGTAGCCGCGGCTTGGACACCTTGGCCAGGATACCACGCTTGCTGCTGTGACCGTTCTCTGACACCGTGTCTTTTGGCTCTGACGACGATGATCTATTGATAATATTAAAATTCGTATAATTTATATTGAAATAAAAATAACAAAATAAATCATTTAAATGTTAGCTATGTTATGCATCTACAATTGCGGTTGTCTATGGGCAGAAGTCGCTTCGATATTTCGGCGAATTCAGGTGGCCGCTTAACCATTTTATCATATATAAAATATTTTTATATGATACTAAATTACTGCTTATTTAGATGCAATTTAAATCATTTCCTATCAGAGTTGTATTATGGTCCTTCGAGCCGGATAATCTATTGAAATAACATAAAAAAGCCAATTTCTTTACTTTGATATATCAATAATGGTTATTAACTTAGTATTTCTGGTAGTATATACATATATACGTACTTGCAGGCGAGTAGGGCGTGCAGGTCGGGCACTTTGCGCAACAGGTCGTGCAGCCGGGCGCGGTAGTTGGGTTCCATGGTCTGCATCAGCGCTGCGAGCCGCGCCGCTCCCTCCGCACTCTCGCTCTCACTGCCCTCACTACTGTTAAACACAACACATTTATTAAAGTAGGTTCCCATTTCTATAACATATAAAAAATATGTTGCCATATCCCTCATTTTCTTTTAGAAAAAAAAAGTTTTTTTTATTTTCTCTATTTTAATGCAATTTTATTATAAATGAAAACATTATAAACATTTATGTAAAACTTTAAAAAATGTACCTAAATCCAGCTGCCTCTGCAACCGGACCAGAGCTGTTAGATTCTTCAGATGTGTTAATACTCGGAGTGTTATTGTTTAACTTGGATGAGATTCGTTTCAGAAATGTTATCTGAAAGAAAAATTAAATCACATGTATTATAAACTTATGCAACTACAAAAAAATGGCGCATTAATAAGACTATTTAAGAAAAAGAAAACCCTATGACTCTCAGATGATAAATAGGAAATTACCAATCACCAACATCGGTTCAGACATTTATGCTACAGGGGTTACAAAATAACTTACATACATAAAAACCTGCATACATACAGTAAGTAGTAAAAAAATAACAAAGAAAAAAATAAACAAAACTGACCAATAAGTGTGCATCGTGGGGCGTGAAGAGCGCTATAGTGGTGCGTGGTGGTACGTCAGTGCGCAGCGCGTCCGCCTGCGAGGGTGCGGGTGCGGGCGCGCACGCATCCGACATCACACTCTCTATCAGCGACGACACGCAGCTCCGATCAAACTTTGAATACAGGTCACGGACTTTTGGATCCACCTGTATGTTGAAATTGGACTTTGTTATTGTGGTTTAATACTGTCGAAATAGTCATATAAATGTGTATGTATGGATGTATGAATCAATGGATGGATGGACGTTTGTTTAAAGGTAGCTGCAGAACGGATGCATGGATCCCGTTAAAATTTCATAGGATACATTCTGTTCCAGACAAGAAGCTATTCAGTTTTTTTTTAAATTCCGCGCAGACAGAGTCGCAGGCGGCAGCTAGTAATAAAATAAAACATATTCAAAAATTATATAAAATCTTAATTTGAACTCGATGGCGTTATTTTTATATTTTTTTAAATCGATACCAACATATTATGTGACATCAACATTTGCGGACATAGTACCGACCTCCTGGTAACAGTTGAGGCAGAGCACCTGCAGGATCTGTGCGACCTGCATGAGATTGAATCGCGCCACGTAGGAGACAGGCACGTCGACCACACCGTATGCCTCGGGGCTCACCACAGCGGGGCAGATCAGTTGACTCAACACCAAGTCTGTACAGATCGCGTGCAACTCACGCTCGCTTGTCCTACACAACAACAGTAAATATTATTTTAAAGAAGCATATATAACTAAGTAACTACATACTAAATAAGTCAAGACAGCACAAACATTAATGCAAAAAACCTCTTTAAAGCTTTAACAAAATAATTCAAGTCATAATAACTACTATATTAATTCCCGGTAAACGAAATTAAAAAAATAAAAGCTGTATCAAGCATGATGGAACAGTCATAACCTTGACCTGGAATATTTTTTAACAGCACTTATTCCCTAAATATGACAAGCAAACAGTAAAAGATACAGCCCCGAATATAAAAAAATAAAGTCCTAAAGTACTGTAATTTATTGTAGGTTCTTGTGCCCATTTACCTGGAATGTTGCTTCAATAGATGTACAATCTGCTGCACAATCCATGCGATGGCTGCAGGGAAGTTGGGCCAGTGCTCCTTCAGCGAGGCGATAAACTTGCTGGTCAAGTTGTACAGAGACTGCACCGTCCACTTGCGGTACCGGGCCACCTTCGCTGGGTACTCATTGCTATTTGTTTGACCAAACTTCTTGAGACGATCCGATGCTGAGAATCTAAAATATAAATTATTTTATATTTTATCTCTGAGTACGAAATTCTTTTACTTCGACTTAAATGAACTGTTGTATTTCTAGGGTACTCGAACTTAGGTAAATGAAATGATACATATCGCTTTCTTACTTTAATAGCACAAGTCAGAAAATTAAAAAAAATTTAAAGCCTTGTAGTTGACTCAAGACTCAAGGTGCAGATGACATATAATTATAGAAAGATATAGATATATTACCTCTCCATGGCCTTGTCCGGGTCTATGTCGAGGAAGAACTCGTCCTCGTGCAGCACAGCCATGACGGGTGCGTGCAGTGCGGCCGCGAGGAAGCGGCGCGCCGGCGCGTGCCCGTCGCGGAACGTGGAGCACAACGACGCCAGCGCACATTTGCTCGTGCGGAACAACCTTACATACAAATACATAATATCAGATATATACATACAGAAATAATATTTCTGACATATTATCAAAAACTCATATTGTAAAGTGAAAGTATTTGATTGTTACAGATTAACTTAAAATCCATTACTCAAGACTAGTCATCTTACTCAATATTATAAACGCGAAAGTTTAGATTAGTCTGTCCCAAAGTGGGCGATAACGCCACCTTGCAGGTCTCAAGTTGCGGGTTATAGTAAAAGTTTCATTTAGAATTCTCCATTAAAATACATATATATATATATATTTTCATATATTTAAAAACCACTGTAACTTCAAATTAAATTAATTAATTATTGTGACCTATATATTTTTAAATATATGAAAATATGCGGGCGCTAAAAAAATATTTATTCTCAAAGTGGGCAGTAGACAAAATAAGTTTGGGAACCACTGGTTTAGATGGATGTTTGTTTCAAGGATCTCTGGGCAGCGCAACAGGTCTTGATAAAATTTGACACAGATGTAGAACACAATATGGTACACATATAGGGTATTAAGTTTTTTTTTTATTTTGTGCGGACGGAGTCTGGGGCGACGACTAGTAATTTATAATTCAAAAAATATTAATCTTAAGAGTTAGTAACACATCAAAAGTAGAGAAACAAGATAGAACATCTCAATAATACTTAATCACATTTCTTTATTTAGTAAATATTCTTTAGTACAATTTTTTTTCGAAAATATAAATTGAGGCAATAAGATAATTCGTAATAATGACATTAAAACAAAATTACGATACTTCCTGCTGACATTGAGTCAAGTGCGCGTATGTACCGGCCACATCCTGTGGGTTGCAAACAATTGATTGTGCCGTTTTATTAGGATGTGAAAGCAAACGCTTATAACATTATTAAATTGTAAAAGAAGTTAGCTTTGAACAATGTACTTCTCAATTGTTTTGTTAATTGCCTTGAGTATATTATATACTCACAAAATAGTGATAAAAATTTGTACACAATTTTAATGTAAACTCATATATACATTAAAAGGTAATAAGGATTATAGGAAGGCCAACATAGATTTCGAAACCTATTGCAAATATAATCATTGTTTTAAGGCTTAGGTCATTGACTTCTTCGTAATATGGTAATAGATAGCATATTAATTTAACATGTAGGCTTCTCATTGTTTTACTCTCAGCAATAAAAGTGGCCTGCTCTATCAACTGATATTAAAAAAATCCTAATTATAATGAGATAGTTATTTAAAGCTATTTATTATAATGTAAAAACATAGTAAAAGCTATCGCTAGCAAAAAATACTTACTTCCTTGGATCGCTTGAAGTTGCCATTTGGTGTTTGATCAAGGAACGTATGACGGCGAGCAAACGTGTTCTGTCCGTAGTAGAACGGCAGCTGCCATACAGGCCTGCTATCAGGAATGATGGCAGGGACTGTGGCATGTGATCTTCTCCGAGTATCAAGCTCAACGCAACTAGATGGGGTGTGTCTCGAAGCCATCCTAGAAGCTCGCCCAAGGCAGTTGCTTCCTAAATTAATAATGTTGCTAGTTAAGAAATCATCTATTGTTTGAAATGTATAAAAGTGGACAAAATTGGTAATCCATTTTTACTAAACGAAAAGTATAATAGAAATATTGACAATGAAACAAAGTGGGTGGATACCAATTACCTACAATACATCAGTGATAAGAAAATAATCATAAACAGAAGTTGTAATTGTTAGAGTGAGGAAAATATTGATTTACACCCACCATTGGCATTTTCAGTATCTAACACAATATTTTGCAACCAATGCACCATCTTACGCATTTTTTAGCTTATATACCACTAAATTAAATCATTTATGTTCTAACGTACCTTATATCTCAAGACCTTGTAAGCATCTATAAAAGCTGTGCTCTCTAGTAAGCTTGCTCTCTGGCAGGCTGCTATGGATTCAGCTTCACATCGAGATGAAATAAGGTTCGTTAAGTTCTGTCGTTGCATAGAACATATCCATGCAGCCTGTAGCAATTCCTGCACAGTTTTCTCCACTTCCTCATTAAGATTTTGAAGCAGCTGTCGCTCGGAATTGATGAAAATTTTCTCCCTACGTAGCTGATTCGCTAACTCCGCAATATTCATACAGCCCTCAGATGTTGGCTGCATCATTCTTGCAATTAATCACATACACTTATAAATGACACATTTTATTTTTACTAAATAAATAAAAATATTCACGTCATTTCACAAAATCCTTTTAGATCTCACTTGATTTTAAAAGTCAACAAAGGACAACAAAAACAATTGGAACATACGACACACTAATATTTCATCGATATTTTTTTACCGTAAGACATCGGGATATTTAAATAATTATTAATATAATTTTTGTACACTTATTATCAAATAGCAAAAAGAAAGATGCAAATCGTTCGCAAAATGAGACGAAATCGACATGAGCATTAATGATTAGATGAATGAAAAGTCATCCGTTCAGAAATATACAATTCGTTCATGACGTATGACGTAGTAAAATATCATACAACCGGCATAGCGAATCCCGATGAAATAATCGTTAAATAAAATAAATATCAAGAACCTAAAACTGCAAACTCCAACATACATTTTACCTATTACTACTCTTATTTAAAATTAAGAAACGCCATTCCCTTTAGTACTTATAATATTATTTTACTTGTATTAAATTAAACTTCGCAGCAATACCTCAGCAATACAAAGTCTTGATCTTGCTCTTTTTAATCTTAATCCTTTATAAAAAGGATCAAATATAATCGACAGTAACCTTGTTACTAGAATGCTTTAACATTATTTTCAGTTTTACAAATTACTGAAAATAGTACCATAGACATCTTTTTATTTTTAAAAGTTTGAGATCATGTAGACCAAGCCTTATCGCAGTTGTAAAGAATGAAAGAACGAACCAAACGAACGGAGAATTACATAAATAAAGATTAAAAATGAACGAATCGTGTTTTACTAGAAGTGAGTGATGGTTTAGAATTAGAAGGAAATCTTTGGACTGCTCACTGCAAGTCTTTTCATAATTTTCTTGTAAATATTATAATAGATGTTTAGATTTAAGTACTTAAATGTGATTCGTGAAAAATTATATTCGTTACAATGTCAAATAGTTCAATTGATGAGAAATTGAAAGGTTTGCAAGAACGATTTCAAAATGAAATGCGTACGCGGGGAGATGGTGGTTTACAGAACCAAGGTGGTCTCGGAACACCTAAGTCTGGAGGCCGGAAGTTTAGACCCCGTAAGTCTATTTGTTGCGATAAGCCTTTTTATTAATAGCATTAGTTTTCCATTACAGGATAATGTTCTCATTACATCTGTTTTGTGCCATAACATTCTGTTTCAAATTCATAAATTATATGTTATAAAGTATATATTTTGATAGAATTTGCCCAAACATCTCCATAAATAAGATGTAAGATTTGCTGTCCTATAAAAAAAAGTGTTGGGGTTTTATGTAAGCAATGTAGCATATGCTTACAAATTGAGGTTGATATTTGTCAATGTTAGGTAGGATCTTTGATATAACTTTGGGTGCTATTCACGCCGACAGATTTTCAATCGGAGAGCAGTAACAATGTAAATAGATTATTTGCATAACTTGGCATTGAAGACACTGTGGGTGGTGTGCAACCAGACAAGCATACAATTTTAACTATATGTGCATATTTATTGTGTCAATAGACACCATTGTTTTGAAAGGAATAACATTAACTATGGTATTTGGCAAAACATTCTGTATTGCTAAGTTTAACTGCATAAATTACTGATAGCCACTATGGAGTCAATGAAACTTTTTGCACTTCTCCACATTAACTAATTTCATTTTCATGTTTATTCATTGTAATAACTGAAACTACTACTGTATTTCTCTCAGATATTTAAGGGTTATTCGACAAAACTCAATAATTTCGATAAAAATCCTTTTCAAATGGTGGAATTGGAACACCTTTGTATTTGTTAACCACATATATGGTAAAAAGCACATAACAATAAGAAAATGTAATAAAACTTAGTAATTCTTAAGAACAAATGATATAAGTTTTAAATAAAAAGGTTCAATATACTAACATCATATAATGTAAAAACACATTGTCCTGCAGAGTTTGCATTTGTATGTACTTATTGTTATTTTTAAATTAATCAAAGCAAAGTTTATTTTGTTTATTTATAGAATTTTAATGTTGAATAATTAAATGTATAACATATTGTAATAAATATTATATGTTAATACAACTTTTCATTATACCTTTTATTTTATAAATATTTAAAATTGCAACAAAATATTTTCTTTTACACAACACATACAAGATCGGAATTAGGAAAAAAAGATGTGGAGAAGTTGCTGTATACCATATTCATTGCTTTTTCATATTTTAAAATTAGTAGACCTTATGAATATAATGTCATAATTTTATAAGATTTTTTTTGTCATAAAAATATTAGCAGATTTTTTTTTGTAAATTTACTAATATTTCTTTTACCATTCAATTTAAGCTCTAGGCTTGTGCTAGAATATAGTTCAGGACAATAGTCGAATGTCGAGATTCAAACCCCCGACCTTGTGATCAGAAATCCATACCCTTAACCATTAGGCTATTGACGCTTTTTAGATTAAATAACTACTTTGCTTTATAGCAATATATTTGTATTGTATAATAACATTTGTGTTGATAATACAACATAACAGTTATTACATACATTTTACATATAAACCCCATACTAAAACATTATACTTCTACTTCTTACTAATATCATAAATGCAAATGTTTATATGGATGGATGATTGTCTGAAGGTACCTCCAGAACTGCAATTTGGCATTTCTTCCTGAAATTTGGCATAGATATAGAACACAACCGGGAAGAATACATAGACTATTAATAATTTTTTTTTAAATACCATGTGGACGGATAATATTAGTTATTGTTGTACAAAAGTGTCTGTTGTCTTTACAACAATTTATTTGCATAACAAATATGCTATTAGATATATTTACACAATGTTTTAAAGATATGAGTTCATACAGTATCCTCTTTACATCACATATAATTAAGAAATGCTTTATTACCTTTGACTCAGATTTACGAATGATGCCATCATTTATTTTCATTATTCCATTTCTTGAAGTATTGACTCACTTCGCATCCATTGGGATGTCATCTACTTTATGGTAATGACATTGAGGGTCAAAGTCTTTATTAATAACTAGCTGTCGCCCGCAACTCCGTCCGAACAGAATAATAAAATGAAATAGTAGCCTATGTCTTCCAGACTATATGTATACCATATTTCGTTGATCTGTTCAGCAGTTTTAGAGATACCTTCAAACAAACATTCACATTTCTTATAGTAGTATATGAGTAAAATTAATATGCTTCCTGTGTTTATAAAGATGTTCAACTATCCTTGGAAATGGCTAAACCTAAATGAATTCATTATCATTTAGGGCCCTTAAATTAATAGTACAATGTTGATTAAAGGTTGTCTTGTCTTGGAGAAGCATTGAAGTATATTAGTGAATGTACAATTTTATTTTTTATCTAAATGAAATTTTCTTGATAATCAATTCAAATAGATTTGGAGAATGGTTGGAGACCTTGGTTTATGGTGAATTTGAAGAATAATAATGTGTACTCTTCCTTTTCCAGTGTTCAATAGAGATATACCATTACCACCGAGATCACCTCAGGCAACAGAAACTGAATTCCGTATGCGGGAAGTGTACAAGGTATATTTACTTGATAATTAAAAAAATATTATCATTGGTTTATGATCTTTTAAGTTCTTTGCAGTAGGTAAAGCTACATATTATAATAATTAACTTAATAAATATTATTTAAGGCTAAGTTAAATCGTGTTATAATAGATTATTCTAATACTTTAGATTTGTTCTGATGTAAACTGACTGTATTCTCTGTTGTAGGTGAGTGGAAAGTTAAACGTGGGAGGTGTGGAGTACCGTTCCAGTATAGATGAATTACAACACATGGGTGAGCTCGGCAGTGGTACATGTGGGCATGTTGTCAAGATGTTACACAAAACTTCCGGAGCTGTCATAGCTGTTAAGGTAATAGACATAAAATTCTTTATATGTATACATTTTTTAAGTAGATGCCATTGATATGGGACAGATATTTTAAAAAATATTGAAAAAAGGTTGAAATTAAGATAATAGTGATCTACTAAGCTACCTTTAATTCTGCTTTTCCAGCAAATGCGACGTTCTGGTAACTCTGAGGAAACCAAACGAATTTTAATGGACTTGGATGTGGTTGTTCGGTCACACGACTGTCCATACATTGTGCGCTGCCTGGGCTGCTTTGTGACGGACGCGGATGTATGGATATGTATGGAACTGATGGCGTCATGCTTCGATAAGTTACTCAAACGTCTTGGTGCTCCGATACCTGAGGCAATACTAGGCAAAGTCACTGTTGCAGTAAGTATTACGGATGATAAGATCTATTGTATATATCAATTCATTATCTGTGGGTTTCCGAGATGAAAAGCTCACTATACAGTGATCTCTGTATTTCATCTTTGACACAATAGAGATAGTATTATGTTTTAAGTGGGATTTTATTTTCAGAAACCAACAGCAACTGTCATACTCAGATGTTTTATTAAACGTTAATTTTATATGGAAAGTATTTGTTACTATTGTTTAAAAGCCCTTGGTTTTAATCTAATTTTTCTAATTAAATTTTAATTATTTAATTAGATATAAGAATGATTAGGCAAAAAGAAGTTTTTAACACAGGGTGTTCATTTACAGACGGTGAAAGCGCTGTCATATCTTAAAGAGAGTCACGGCGTGATCCATCGTGACGTGAAGCCGAGCAACATTTTGTTGGACGAGCGCGGCAACGTGAAGCTGTGCGACTTTGGCATCAGCGGCCGTCTTGTAGACAGTAAAGCAAAGACAAGGAGTGCAGGATGTGCTGCGTACATGGCTGTAACTATATTTGATAATTATTATTCTTTTTTGTTATTTGTAATAAGGTTCAATGTCTAGTATTTCTTTTTAATCTTTATTGCTCAAGTTTTTTTTTATCTACGTCTACCAAACATGTTTTTTTTTGTTTAAGCTTTTTTTAATTGTTAGTAAATTATATAGAATTTGTATTTTTGCTGTAGATTTATGTTGGTGGTCTTTACGAGATATAAATTAATAGCGAAAAATCAAAGAGAATTACTTTTTGTTGACAGCCTGAACGGATAGACCCTCCTGACCCCAGTAGACCGGACTATGACATTCGAGCAGATGTGTGGTCTCTTGGTATATCCCTAGTCGAGCTCGCCACCGGTGTGTTCCCCTACAGAAACTGTCAAAATGACTTTGAAGTCCTTACGAGGGTGAGTTATTCTGTTCACGATTTTTTTTTAATTTTTTTCATACAAAATTATAACGATAGCATAAATAATCCATAAAGGTTTTAATCCTCTTTGTTTAATTCTGTAACTTTGTGATAAGTTTAAAAAGTTTGTTATTTTTAATGTATTTTTAGGTAATAGCAGATGATCCCCCCCAGCTGCCAGATACCAGCGATTTTACACCTGAATTCAAGTCTTTCGTATCTCAATGGTAAACAATATTATTTTAATACTTTTAAGAAAACAAATAATCGATTTCAATTTATTTTTATAGTTTCGCCGGTAACTCCATATGCATGGAATTAAAAAAAAACTATTTTTTATAGTAATCTACGTATTTTTCTATACTATGTTCTATATCTATACCAAATTTCTTCACTAATTAATTAAATTAAAAACATAATGATAATATAACTAAGATTGTTATTTTATTTATCACAGCCTGACAAAAAATTACCGTCAGCGTCCAAAGTACCCGAAGCTCCTGGAACATCCGTTCGTAGTGAAATCATGTCGCAGTAACGTGTCTGTGGAGGAGTGGTATGCCACGCTGCCTAAGAGTGGCGCTCCGCCTTCGCCCGCATCGCCCAACGGACACTCCAGCCCGCCCACCCCACAACCCATCAGGAACTTCGTCACCAGCGCGCACCACTGGTCTCCTGACCAGGTCACACCAACGCCTGGACGGTTAGTTATCTATACTAATATAATAAAGTGTAAACACACTTGTAATAAGACAGGATTGTAGAAACCACGGGATATATTTTTTTAAAAATCATTTTTGTAATAAAAAGCCATAACCTTCAACTTGCTTTAGGCTATATTTTGACGTCACTAAACTTACTGGATGTGTTAATTGATCACTAGATGGCGCTGGCAAATGGCTATTAATTTTCCTTTAGTTTTAATTCAGAAATTATCGAAATATGTTATGATATTTGACATTTATTTCTGCAAGTTTGTAAACTAATATGTCCTTCAGTTTAAAGGTTTAAAAAAATGTTTTCAGAGCGAGATGGGCGTCGCCATCGCACGCGGGTGGCAGCAGCTCGCAGCCTGCCAGCTTGGAGACGGATTTCTCCAATCATTCGCCTTACCCCAGGCGCAGGTATTTAAATATTTTATTTTATTTGAAACTCGTTAGAAAAATTATTCGAATAGTCATAAATATGATATGTTATATAGATTTGAATGGATTAAAAATGCTGTAAATAAGTTCAGTCGTTATTTTGAAAGTGATGTTGTGTTTCAGAACGATAGAGGCGTGCGCGTCACCGCCGCCGCCCCCCGTGCGCAGAGTTTCCGCAGAGAACCGCTGGAGGGCGTCACCTGCTGTAAGTCTTCTTGCTTTTACTAATATTATAAATGCGAATGTTTGGATGGATGTTTGTTAGTAGTTATCTCCAAAACTGTTCAATGGATATCGATTAAATGTAGCACAGATGTAGAACATAGTTTGGAAAAACACGTAAGCTTCTTACTATGTTTTTTGCCGTACCGCGCAGACAAAGTCGCCTGCGACAACTAGTATAATTTTTGTTTTTTTTTGTAAGATTTCACCTTTTAAAAAAGATATTTTGTTGCTGAAAACGGCGTACTAAAGTATGTAGGTATCTCTTTCTTGGTGGTCTTTCTATCAAATATTTTCAATTTGCAGAGTTCAGGCAACACGAGTCCTATAGTGCTGCAGAGGTTCTACCATCAGAGTCAGCAGAGGAGATCCAGGGTCGACCTGCATTCTACACCTAGGCATAGAAGGTACACAATGATTCGTTATATGACAATTACTTTTCACACAAATAACTATTAGGTATATTGTTATGTATTGGCATTTTATATAACCGTATAATAAATACATTGTCTGTACCTAATTCTGTATTTTTTTATTTATTCTAAGAGAATTATTTCGAAAAAAAAATAACTGTTTCAGTTTAAGCAGAGAACACAGCACCGGGAGATCTCCTGAGCCACCACCGAGAACTAACAGACATCATATGTTAGGACATGATGGTGAGTGTTTTAAAAAACATAAAAATGTCTATTATTTTTTTTATTCTTTGACACTTTTGTCGTATCTGAGATGTCTGATTAATCTTTGTCATATATATTTTATTAGGGTTCCTTTTTTTAGAAGTTATGAATAATTTTTTATCTGTATGTATAATTTCAGCGAACGGCAGCTCGGAACTGGAGCCCCCTCCACTGCACGAGCGGTTACATCCTCCCTCCCCCCTACTGCTTAGTGACAGGTAATTGTTTATTGTAACTAGCTGTCGCCCGCGACTGCGTTCGTGCGGGATCACAAAACACTTAATTAGTAGGCTATGTGTTCTTCCAGACTATGTTCTATATCTATGTCAATTGTCATCCATCCATCCATCCATATAAACTTTCGATTGACAATTATTTTATAAAAATATAATTACTGGATAAGCGAGAAACCTCTTTAAGCGAGAGTCATTGTATGGTAACTACGTTTAAAGCGAGAAACTCTGATTGAAGAGAAATCCTGTATAAGCGAAACAAAATATTGCCATCCCTTTGTACTGGTACTTCTCCAATTTTGACTTTATTCAACAAAACAGATCTAAATGTTTTTTTTTAATTTGCCAGATTGTCAGAAGGACGCAGTCAAAGTCTGACGCGTGCGGAGTTACGCAACGGATATCGGTCTGACGTCGCGACACCGAACAAACATCATGACGATCAAGGTAAACTTCATACAACACTCATACATACATACATACATACAAACTGTATAACAGTATATATGAATTTTATTTGAAATTTATTTGTTTTTTATCTGGTAATAAAAACTTTATTTGTAAATAAAGTCGAGGGCAGCCAGCCTTTGTGAATATTTGTTTAATGATTATAATGATTGCTGCGCTTGCCACTCTTTCCTTTGCCGTTCACTTTGTGTTGGATAATGATTGTATTATATTAATTTTTATACAATAACTAGCTGTCGCCCGCGACTCCGTCCGCGCGGGATTAAAAATAGATGTTGGCCGATAAGCAGACCTACTCAATATGCTCAGAAAATTTCATGAGAATGGGAACGAAAATTGTGATACGAGAATTTTATATATAAAATATTTATTTTTAATTTAAAAGTAAATATCTAACTGTGGTATCAAATTTTGTGTTTAAAAAACAAAACTTTATTTTTTTATCTTTCGATTTCTATTCTATAAATATCAGCTATATCTTTAGTATAATTTATTTTAATTTTAGTATAATTTTTATTTATAAAATGGAGATTTATTTAAGTTTTTTTTGTACTTGAAATGTATTTATGTAGTCGGCGGGGGAACTGTCGCGCCCCCGATAGTACTATTAATATAAAATAATGATATAATACAATCATTTGGTGTCATCTTCCATCAAATCTCATGTTACTTTTACATTTATCCATCTCATTAAATGTACGGGAACAGTAAACTCGAGTGCCAGCAAAATAACTCGCGCTTTGCTTCGCAGTTATTCTGCTTAAGATAATGGGATTCAAGAAAAATGTAGAAATAATTTATTTTATTATAAACCTACCTTTTTCTTTATATTTTGAGGGTAGTTGTTAAAATAAGGGGATGTGAGGAAACACGTTTTGTAATTTAAAGCTAAACTAACAATTGCAAATTGTAGTATCAAGTATTTTAAGTTTGATTATGTCACTTAAATATCATTTTTGTCGTGTCATTTGTATGTTGTTTCTTTCGTTCTCTTTGACAAAAAAGAGATGGCAATATATACAGAACCTAATAAGAGAGAGGCCAAGAGATATTTTTCTCATTTTAATCCATCATTTTATATCATAAGATGGCAAACGCCGAGCGGTCACCGGAAATCGCTGAAATAGCGAAGTGACCGTTGCCCATAGACACTCAATTGCATATGCGTTGCTTACCTTTAATCGAAAGAGTAGAGGATGCACAGGAAGAAAATATTTTTCCTTTCCATGCATCTTCTCATCCGGAAAGTCCACTTCCACTTCCGATCCTTTCCTTTTAAGAAAATGGGTAGGAAGGGAAAGAGGACTAAATTAGGCGTAAGGTCTCCTTATCGAGGTTCTGTATGAATGAAAGTACTCATGATATGTAAATAGGCATTTACTATGTTTTTATCACTTTCTCGCCACATTATTATTTGCACAAATATTTTGCTATATTTTTTTGAAGAAATAAATTATTATTACAGTAAATATTTGATAAAATTTACATTTAAAAGTGACGTAATCTAACTTCCATCACAAATGAAACGTAAAATTTTACTGTTCTTTGATGTGTTGTGTATATTTGTTGCGAACTGAGGGGACATATTCATTGTATTTTATATATATATATATATCTGAAAAAAATCATTAACCAAATAAAATTTAAAAAAAAACTGATTTTGGTGTAGACCATCGACAATTAGGATTTTTTTTTCATTTAAAGTTTTTATGTAGTTTAGAAGTTGTCTCAGTTTGTTAACAATAGCTGTGCTTCTGCCGTTGTCCTCACGCGACCACATCGCCTGTCCGTCACGCCTCGCTACACTAAACACAACCCTAACACCTCGCTAATAACGGCTAAATACGCTAAACACGCTTCAGAAGAACGGTCTATCCAGTCTACGTAGTGTTTGGACCGCTTGATGCCTTCCAAAATATACTCTATTGGTTTTATATTAAGAGTTAAATTTGTTGTACACTGGAATTTTTGCGAGATTTTTATTGTTCGTCAGAATTTGTATTGGTAAGTTACTGCAATTTAATATATTTCAAAATTAAAAAAAAATAAATAAAATGTGTTTATAAATCGTTTAACTTAAAAATATATACATCATAAAATTATATAATTGCGCCGTAAAATAAAATAATCAAACATTGATTATAAAAATTATAATTTTTTTTTTAAATATTAACTAACTATAAAGGTATAGAAAATAAATAGAAAAATAACTATAAGATTAAATAAATATGCAGTAAAATGGTGAGCGGTCCAAACGGTTGTATTTGAATAGCTTTTAGTAGCAAGGTGTGGGTGACCATCTGTCGTCATCAGTCTGTCCTGGCTTGGTGCCGCTGTAGCCGCGCGGCGTCCTCTGCCGTCTGCCGGCACTATAGAGAGCTCGCTCCTTGAGGTACGATAATATTATAAATGTCCTTGCTCCAAGATAAAAAAGCCGCGCCATTTTTCGGAACTAAAGTTATTTTACAAAATATTTGCTAGTTATTTTTTTTTCAGCATTCTAAAGTCTAAAAAATTAATGATTTTGATAACGATATTTGAATTTGCTCATTATAATTGTGTGATTCGAATTGGTGCAATGTAACTCATGGATCGGGCTCTTGTTGAGTGGTGAGCGTGTCGCGTGAGGGTGTGGGGCGGGGCGGGGC